GAAATGTTTGGGACCGGGATGGGCGGGGGGCTATTTTGCTATCGAAGGTAAGGGAATTTTTGATTTCGAAATTCTGTGGGGTCGAGGGGGGGATCGGAGGTGATAGCTGGGTGTGGTAGTGTTTGGGTTGTTACTGGCACAGGCAGAATTGAGTTGCAGGTCAGAATTGGGAGGACAGTGATAGTGTGTAGGTGCTCTTGACCCCTCTTTTTGTTTCTTCCACAGTGTAATCATCCTTGGGAATTGCCCTTACCCTTCAGACTTTCTCCCAATTTACATCTCAGCATCTTTCCTCTGTCCTTGAAGTTTAATGTACACTGTAGAGTATCCGCAGCACCTGCTTTTGATACCCGGTGCTAGCTGTGGAAACAATAATAAAGGAGAGAGTGTTCTGGAGCGTGATTCCCTCTCACCACTGAGTAGATGCCTCTAACTTGCTTAGAGGAGGGAAAGAAGGATCTGGCTCCCAGCTTGGGTTCAGTGCTGTTGGTTGTCTTGGGGGAGAAGAATTGGCCTTTAAAAGTACAAGTGGCACAAAAATTCTTTCTCCTACTGCATGCTTAAGACAGGTAATTTGCATGATTGTCAGGCAATCTCTCATGGAGTGTGATAGAGATTGCTATTCTCCGCCATTTGTCTTAGTGTCTGGTGCAGATTGACTGCCTCTTGAGTGTGGAAGTTCTTTTCTTTTGGGTGGTAGAGTATGATAATCTATCAGCGAATCAGCATTACCTTTCTTTCAGCCAACTGTGCTTATGACTGCTGTTACATCTTGCAGTGTGCATGTTACAGTCTTTTCATTAAGTATTTTTAATTTTTTGTAGCAAGTAACAATGAGATAAAGCAAATCCTATTATCGCACATGCTCTCTCAAAGGTTCTTCTGTACTGGAATATTCATATATACAGAGGGGCAACCCAAAGCCATAGAACAACTTTGTAGGAACAAATTCTGTATGTTAGTGTTCTGAAGAAGTCCTTCCTTTCATTTGCCCTATATCTATTGCCAGATTCAAACAGGAATGTGGTTTTCAGGAAAGGGCAGAGAATATGTTTATTTGAAAGAAATGTGTGTGGCTGTCACTGTTATCCAAAATATGTAGTCATTAACATTTACATGTGAATGCTGATGATCCCAGGTGACATTTGTTAATGTCCCAAAGTGGGGGCAAATGGCTGTTGTAGGTGGCTGTCAGTATCCACTAGTATATCTCTGAGATTCTGGTTGTTACCCACAATTAGTCTGCAGTTGTTAACATTCACTGCATTTTAGATGCTCCACGTAAGAAATGTATTTTTTGGGGGGAAACAACTGTATGATTTCAGAAACAAATGCATCAAATAATTATAGGTGGCAGTATTAGAATGTATCAATACCTGCTGTTGGGCAGGCAGGCACTTCTGCTCCAGCGCTTGGCTCAACACACTCCAGATTTGTGTGCTGAACTTCTACCTGTTGATAGGCCAGCATTTCCACTTGGTCACATGCATGCATCCTTGTATCTGTGACGAGACGCAGTATGGTATTGTGGGCAGAGCCTCAGACTGGTACATGAGAATCCAGGTTAAAGTTGACACAAAATTTGCTGGATGACCTTTGGCCAATCACTTTCTCTTGCAAGGTTGTTGTGATGATGAGAGGGATTGTCTATGCTTCCCCGAGCTCCTTGAAAAAAGGGCAGGATAAAAATATACTAGTGAATGTTGAGTTGGAAAAGGCAGAGAGGCAAGTCACTTAGCAAGGAGTAAACAAAGAGAGTGTAATCCCTGTGGCTCACTAGCTTTAATGATTGCCACCAACTTCTGAGTCCAATTCAGGGTGCTGTTTGGGCATGCATCATGATTTGATACAATGCAGAACAGGGTGGAGAATTCAGTCTACTGAGAATCTTGATTTTAGTGAGTTAAAAAAAAGTTTCTAACCCTTATGGCTGCAGAGATAGTTGTGTGGAAAATACAAACTGAAATCTTGGAAACCGGAGAGGCAGCTTTGGAAGAGCCAATCCACAGTCACAGAATTAGGTGGTAGCTTGAGAATGGCTGAATTAAAGACTGTACCACTTCGGACCGAAGGTCCCCATTTGAACAAAACAAATCCCTGCTTGTAGTAAACAAATAATTGGGGAGCAGCTTGGTGTATCTGTCTTGCTGGTTTTCTGTGTCCAGAGAGGTTTCATATCCAAAAAGATGTCTTCTGCCCTGTACCTGCTGTCTGTTGTAATAGAGTGATAAGAACATGTTGTTCAGTCGCAAAGAGTAGAGACGCCAATGTTGGATCAGGCCAATGGCCCATCCAGTCCAACACTCTGTATCACACAGTGGCCAAAAATACCAGGTGCCATCAGGAGGTCCACCAGTGGGGCCAGGACATTAGAAGCCCTCCCACTGTTGACCCCCCCCCCTAGCACCAAGAAGACAGAGCATCACTTGCTCCAGAGTCCCTATCTATACCTTGTGGCTAATAGCCACTGATGGACCTCTGCTCCATATGCTTATCTAATTCCCTTTTGAAGCCGTCCATGCTTGTAGCCGCCACCACTTCCTGTGGAAGTGAATTCTAGGCCCTTGGCCTATCCGATCAAGAGTGGTTGTATGATTTCTGGGGCCAGAATGTCAGTGCCTGTTACTTCTATGTATTATTGGAAAAAAACCACCCTTGAATAAATAACAGATGATATAAATATACCCGATTCATACTAGTTGCTGAATTAAGTTTTATTCTTTCTAAAGTCCTTCTCTGTCAGGGCCTTAATTGTTGTGGCTCCCAAACTGCAAAACTTCTCCCAGCATTCCAAGCTTTTCTGCGAAATGGGAATAGTCTTTCTGTGCCGATGGACATTCAGTTGGTTCCATTTTTGTTGTTACATTGTGAAAGAAGAGGAAGCTGCTAGTTTTTGCTGTTCTGACATATATATTTTTCTCTTTGATGTAGTTTCATGGAGATGCATTTGTGGCCGTAAACTGGGCACCATTTGAGCTGAGTGGTGATGTAATTTTTAAAAAAGACTGGTCTCTGTCCCGAGGAGCTTACAGTTTAAATTTTGACTTGGAGGCAAGACAGTGGCGGGGAAGGGGGAAGAGAGAGTAAGCAGCTTTGAGCCCCAGTTGGCTGGAGAAGGTTTTGGAGGGTAGCCGTGTTGGTCTGCAGCAGAAGAGCAACATTCAAGTCTGGGAGCACCTCTAAGGTTTGTGTGGTGTGAGGGTCAAAGCTCCCTTTTTCCAGCTCCAGTTGGCTGGAGAAGTCATACATATTTATGAAGGATGCAGGAGAGCGACTTCCTTCCTAACAGAGAGGAGCTGGTACTCCAGCATTGCCTCTGCCTTGTAGGGATCCCGTGTCCCATCTAGCCTCATATTACAGAGGCCTTGTCTGGTGATGGTGGGTCTCAAGGGAGGCACCAAGGACTCAAGGTGGGGCCCTCTGGGCTAAGCTGTGTCTCCAGAGTGGAAGCCCTACCAAGAAGTGGCCACTGCCAAGCTTCAGTTACTCGGTGGAAAGAAGGGTCTCTGCATATGCTCCGAGTCTCTCTCTTCTTTGGTACTGTTTGACAAACCCCGAGGATTAGATCTGATACAAAAGCCGTTTCTGATCTTTTTATAGGAGCACTCTATGCCAGCCCTTTGGGGTATTGTATAACCCTCACCAGTGATGCATATTTGTTCAGGAAAACAAAACAGTATTGGACAGGAGGTGTTTGATTTTCTGTATCTCTGTGTCCCAGAGACACGGAGAGGGAAGAGAGAACCAGTTCCAAAATAGAGTTGGCTCTGCTTCAGCAGGGCTCCAAGGGAGGGAGCGAATGTGTGTTTTTCCATTTTCTTTTTCAATTATAAACCCGGTAGCACCACTTGAGTTGGTGACTAGCTCTGTCTGTACATCTTAAAATGCAGATTGATGGGTTTAACCCAAGCCAGAATTCCACCCCCCAAACCCTTGCTCAGGGGTCTCGAAAATATAGTTGTTGGGTGACTAGGGGTAACGGACAGCAAGGGATTTTGCTCCTCCCCTTCCCGGAGTTCTCTGAGACAGGCCTTGATCCTCTGCCAGGTTCCCTGGCCTGACTCCAAGCGTCTCCAAAACCCATTCTGAAGTGAGAAAATGCGTGTGTCCGAAGGCTTGGAGGAGGGGTGGGGCCAGTTGCACCAACAAACAAGCCACCAAGTGCTGGCAAAATTTGCAGAGCCCTGGCCCTACAAGATGTGACTTCTGAGCTCATACGGGGTGCGTTTCCATCCCTCAACAAGAAAACACAGCCTCTTTTTTCCCCTCCTCCCCATAAATCTATTCTCCATAAATGTGGCTGCTGATAGATTAGTGTGCCTAAAGCTGAGATTTTCTTTTTTTTGGGGGGGGGGAGTGGTCCCCCAAGACTTTGAGGTTGATTCCTAGGTGCCTTCAAGCTCATGCAGTAAAAAAGCCCTTAATCTAATGGTCCAAGATTTGAATTGCTGGGTGCATAAGGGAATCCTTCACTGTTTTTAAGCTGTTCTGTCCAGGTGCTTCATTGGGAAGGGACCATAGCTCAGTGGTTGAGGACCTGCTTGACAGGTGGAAGGACCCAGGTTCACTCTGCAGCATCTCCAGTTGTAGAATCTCAGAGGGCCAACGAAGGAAGGATGTGCCCCACTCCGCAGTGTAACTATAAAGTACTGAGGCTGATGCGTTGAAGAGTGATTACAGCTCATACTTTATTTAGTTACATTAAGATCTTGAGATGTTTTAGCCGGCTCGCAGGCCGGCTTATAGTCCCAAATCACACCACACACACACACACACCCGTGATAGGGTATTTACAGTGCACCCCT